AATGTATTCAGATATTTAGGAGTGGACGTGTCAGCAGATGGGTCTATGAAAGATGAAGTGAATCATAAAATTGATGAGGGGAAAAAGTTGAGTGGGGGACTGAGGAGTGTGGAAACAAAGAACTTTGTCCATGGAAGCAAAGAGAGGAATGTATGAGAGTATAGTTATATCAACGGTCTTACGTGGGTGTGAAGCATGGGTGGCGAATGTTGCAACAAGGAGAAGGCTGCAGGCAGTGAAGATGTCATGTCTGAGGGCAATGTGTGGTATGAATATAATGCAGAGAATTCGTAGTTTGGAAATTAGGAGGAGGTGTGGGATTAACAAAGCTATTTTTCAGAGGGCTGAGGAGGGGTTGTTGAGGTGGTTCAGACATGTAGAGAAACTGGAACAAAATAGAATTACTTTGAGTGTGTATGGTAACACTAACGAAGGGAAAACTGGCTAGTTGGATTCAAGTCCTGGAGGGGGAAAGGGTAATGCCTGCATTCTGAAGAGGGATGGGGGCACCATTCATTCAATTACAAAACTGCAATTTAGTGAATGATGGTAAATTTGTGTCCTCTGGGTCACAATGCCTTCACAAAAAGATAGCCATTGAGGTAAAAAAATAAAAATAAATATAAATGTTAGTGATCCAAAACTAGATAAGTGAATGTTGAAAAGACTACACCACTGTAGATATCATCATCAAGGAGTAACTTAATGAGGTGAAGAAATCAACTATAAACCTGTACTGGAAGGTGTGACCAGAGGCAGTAAATTTAGCAATTTTTCCCAACATCAACAAGGCAGGGAAGAAGTGTGTGAATATAGCATTGCAGTTATGTAAAAAAAAAAAGTTTGTTATTCAAGAGGCAGACATAGATGAATTGACTGTCACAAAGAGCAATTTTTTTTTAAATTAGCACCCAAGTCATCAATGTCTTATGTACCACCTCAAGCATCATCACATCAACCAATATAGAAAGAACCTCTGTTTACTAGTTTCCATCCATTCACAAGCACTATCACACCAAAACTTTTTTTTTTCAACAAACTGGCCATATCCTACTGAAGCAGGGTGGCCCAAAAAGAAAGTTTTTCTTTGTAACTAGTAATGCATACAGAAGGGGTTACTATCCTCTTTCTCCAGGCATATTATTCGCCTCTTACGACACTCATGGCACACCAAAACTATACCAACTAAATAGTGTCATATACATTAACAATTTAACCCTATGCATGAGTGACCGGGAGTGTTACTCACTGAACTGGGAGAGACTCTCACCTCAAATGTAACCCCATCATGAATACAGAGGGTTTTTTTTTTTTTTTTTTTCAACAAGTCGGCCGTCTCCCACCGAGGCAGGGTGACCCAAAAAAGAAAGAAAATCCCCAAAAAGAAAATACTTTCACCATCATTCAACACTTTCACCACACTCACACATTATCACTGTTTTTGCAGAGGTGCTCAGAATACAACAGTTTAGAAGCATACACATATAAAGATACACAACATATCCTTCCAAACTGCCAATATCCCAAACCCCTCCTTTAAAGTGCAGGCATTGTACTTCCCATTTCCAGGACTCAAGTCCGACTATATGAAAATAACCGGTTTCCCTGAATCCCTTCACTAAATATTACCCTGCTCACACTCCAACAGATCGTCAGGTCCCAAGTACCATTCGTCTCCATTCACTCCTATCTAACACGCTCATGCACGCTTGCTGGAAGTCCAAGCCCCTTGCCCACAAAACCTCCTTTACCCCCTCTCTCCAACCCTTTCGAGGACGACCCCTACCCCGCCTTCCTTCCCCTAAAGATTTATATACTTTCTATGTCATTCTACTTTGATCCATTCTCTCTAAATGACCAAACCACTTCAACAACCCCTCTTCTGCTCTCTGACTAATACTTTTATTAACTCCACACCTTTTCCTAATTTCCACACTCCGAATTTTCTGCATAATATTTACACCACACACTGCCCTTAAACAGGACATCTCCACTGCCTCCAACCGTCTCCTCGCTGCTGCATTTACCACCCAAGCTTCACACCCATATAAGAGTGTTGGTACTACTATACTTTAATACATTCCCTTCTTTGCCTCCATAGATAACGTTTTTTGACTCCACATACTCCACCACTCACCTTTTGTCCCTCATCAATTCTATGATTAACCTCATCCTTCATAAATCCATCTGCCAACACTTCAACTCCCAAGTATCTGAAAACATTCACTTCTTCCATACTCCTCCTCCCCAATTTCATATCCAATTTTTCTTTATCTAATTCATTTGATACCCTCATCACCTTACTCTTTTCTATGTTCACTTTCAACTTTCTACCTTTACACACATTCCCAAACTCATCCACTAACCTTCGCAATTTTTCTTTAGAATCTCCCATAAGCACAGCATCATCAGCAAAAAGTAACTGTATCAATTCCCATTTTGAATTTGATTCCCCAAAATTTAATCCAACCCCTCTCCCGAACACCCTAGCATTTACTTCCTTTACAACCCCATCTATAAATATATTAAACAACCAGGGTGACATTAGCATCCCTGTCTAAGACCTACTTTTACCGGGAAGTAGTCTCCCTCTCTTCTACACACCCTAACCTGAGCCTCACTATCCTCATAAAAACTCTTTACAGCATTTAATAACTTACCACCTATTCCTTTATACTTGCAACATCTGCCACATTGCTCCTCTATCCACTATCATATCCCTTTTTCTAAATCCATAAATGCAATAAAAACTTCCCTACCTTTATCTAAATACTGTTCACATATATGCCTCAATGTAAACACTTGATCTACACATCTCCTACCCACTCTGAAACCTTGCTCATCCGCAATCCTACATTCTGTCTTACCTCTAATTCTTTCAATTATAACCCTACCGTACACTTTTCCTGGTATACTCAGTAAACTTATTCCTCTATAATTTTTACAGTCTCTTTTGTCCCCTTTCCCTTTATATAAAGGGACTATACATGCTCTCCGCCAATCCCTAGGTACCTTCCCCTCTTTCATACATTTATTAAACAAAAGTACCAACCACTCCAACACTATATCCCCCCCTGCTTTTAACATTTCTGTCATGATCCCATCAGTTCCAACTGCTTTACCCCCTTTCATTCTACGTAATGCCTCACGTACCTCCCCCACACTTACATTCTGCTCTTCTTCACTCCTAAAAGATGGTATACCTCCGTGACCAGTGCATGAAATTACTGCCTATCTTTCTTCCTCAACATTTAAAAGTTCCTCAAAATATTATCGCCATCTACCTAATACCTCCTTCTCCCCATCTACTAACTCCCCTACTCTATTTTTAACTGACAAATCCATACTTTCCCTAGGCTTTCTTAACTTGTTTAACTCACTCCAAAATTTTTTCTTATTTTCATTAAAATTTCTTAACAGTGCCTCTCCCACTCTATCATCTGCTCTCCTTTTGCACTCTCTCACCACTCTCTTTACCTTTCTTTTACTCTCCATATACTCTGCTCTTCTTAATAACACTTCTGCTTTGTAAAAACCTCTCATAAGCTACCTTTTTCTCTTTTATCACACCCTTTACTTCATCATTCCACCAATCACTCCTCTTTCCTCCTGCCCCCAACCTCCTATAACCACAAACCTCTGCTCCACATTCTAATACTGCATTTTTAAAACTATTCCAACCCTCTTCAACCCCCCCACTACTCATCTTTGCACTAGCCCACCTTTCTGTCAATAGTCGCTTACATCTCACCCGAACTTCCTCCTCCCTTAGTTTATACACTTTCACCTCCCTCTTACGTGTTGTTGCCACCTTCCTCTTTTCCCATCTACCTCTTACTCTAACTGTGGCTACAACTAAATAATGATCCGATATATCAGTTGCCCCTCTATAAACATGTACATCCTGGAGCCTACCCATCATCCTTTTATCAGCCAATACATAATCTAATAAACTACTTTCATTACGTGCTACATCATACCTTGTATATTTATTTATCCTCTTTTTCATAAAATATGTATTACTTATTACCAAATCTCTTTCTACACATAGCTCAATTAAAGGCTCCCAATTTACATTTACCCCTGGCACCTCAAATTTACCTACTACTCCCTCCATAACATTTTTACCCACTTTAGCATTGAAATCCCCAACCACCATTACTCTCACACTTAATTCAAAACTCCCACACATTCACTCAACATTTTCCAAAATCTCTCTCTCTCTCTCTCCTCTTCTCTTCTCCAGGTGCATACACGCTTATTATAACCCACTTTTCACATCCAATCTTTATTTTACTCCACATAATCCTTGAATTAATACATTTATAGTCCCTCTTTTCCTGCCATAGCTTATCCTTCAACATTATTGCTACTCCTTTAGCTCTAACTCTATTTGAAACCCCTGACCTAATCCCATTTATTCCTCTCCATTGAAACTCTCCCACCCCCTTCAGCTTTGTTTCACTTAAAGCCAAGACATCCAGCTTCTTCTCATTCATAACATCCATAATTATCTCTTTCTTATCATTTGCACAACATTCACGCACATTCAGACTTCCCACTTTGACAATTTTCTTCTTATTCTTTTTAGTAATCTTTACAGGAAAAGGGGTTACTAGCCCATTGTTCCCGGCATTTTAGTTGACTTTTACAACACGCATGGTTTACGGAGGAAAGATTCTTATTCCACTTCCCCCATGGATATAAAAGGAAAAGTAATAAGACCAAGAACTATTAAGATAAAATCAAAGAAAACTCAGATGAGTGTGTATAAATATACATGTACATGTATGTGTAGTGTGACCTAGGTGTAAGTAGAAGTAGCAAGACATACTTGTAATCTTGCATATTTATGAGACACAAAAGACATCAGCAATCCTACCATCATGTAAAACAATTACAGGCTTTCGTTTTACGCTCACTTGGCAGGACGGTAGTACCTCCCTGGGTGGTTGCTGTCTACCAACCTACTAATCTATATTCAAAGTAACATATCCTACCTTCCCTTCACATCCCCTTCATATGAAGACTTAAGCAAAGAAGCCTCTGCAACCAAGGGATAGCCAGCAATTTTATATGAGAGTTCTTTAGCTATGCTCTCAGATTTTCTCAGTAAATCCATCTTCAAATCTGATACACATTCATTTTCAGGCAAACGATCTTCAAGTCTTCGCAGTGCTTCTCTGATGCTTATGTCAATAAGACAGCTCACTTTTGAGGCCCATGGAAGGTCTTTGTCAATTCTGCGTATCTGATCTAAAAAAAAAAGTAATGAGAAAATTTTGATTAATGCATATTTTACATACAGAGAACTGTATTATAACATTTCCTGTTAAGAAATTTATATTTCAAAAATATTTTATTACAGTTCCTGCATTGTATTTTATGCAAGATCAGTCTTAAGCAACTTGATCACCATGAATAAATTTTAGATAAAATGCCTCATGGATTTTATACAGAATTTCTTAGCATAACTTAAAAAGCCTTTAATTGAGCTATGTGTAGAAAGAGGTTTAGTAATAAGTAATACATATTTTATGAAGAAGAGGATGAATAAATATACAAGGTATGATATAGCACGTAATGAAAGTAGTTTGTTAGATTATGTATTGGTGGATAAAAGGTTGATGGGTAGGCTCCAGGATGTACACGTTTATAGAGGGGCAACCGACATATTGGATCATTATTTAGTTGTAGCTACAGTTAGAGTAAGAGGAAGATGGGAAAAAGAGGAAGATGGGAAAAAGAGGAAAATGGCAACAAGTAAGAGGGAGGTGAGAGTGTATAAACTAAGGGAGGAGGAAGTTCGGGTGAGATATAAGCAACTATTGGCAGAAAGGTGGGCTGCTGCAAGTATGAGCAGTGAGGGGGTTGAAGAGGGTTGGAATAGTTTTAAAAATGTAGTATTAGAATGTGGGGCAGAAGTTTGTGGTTATAGGAGAGTGGGTGCAGGAGGAAAGAGGAGTGATTGGTGCAATGATGAAGTAAAGGTTGTGATAAAAGAGAAAAAGTTAGCTTATGAGAGGTTTTTACAAAGCAGAAGTGTTATAAGAAGAGCAGAGTATATGGAGAGTAAAAGAAAGGTGAGAGAGTGCAAAAGGAGAGCAGATAAGAGTGGGAGAGGCACTGTCAAGAAATTTTAATGAAAATAAGAAAAAATTATGGAGTTAGTTAAACAAGTTAAGAAAGCCTAGGGAACAAATGGATTTGTCAGTTAAAAAACAGAGTAGGAGAGTTAGTAGATGGGGAGAGGGAGGTTTTGGGTAGATGGCGAGAATATTTTGAGGAACTTTTAAATGTCGACGAAGAAAGGGAGGCGGTAATTTCATGCACTGGACAGGGAGGTATACCATCTTTTAGGAGTGAAGAACAGGATGTGAGTGTGGGGGAGGTGCGTGAGGCATTACATAGAATGAAAGGGGGTAAAGCAGCTGGAACTGACGGGATCATGACAGAAATGTTAAAAGCAGGGGGGATATAGTGTTGGAGAGGTTGGTATTTTTGTTTAATAAATGTATGAAAGAGGGGAAGGTACCTAGAGATTGGCAGAGAGCATGTATAGTCCCTTTATATAAAGGGAAGGGGGACAAAAGAAATTGTAAAAATTATAGAAGAATAAGTTTACCGAGTATACCAGGGTAAGTGTACGGTAGGGTTATAATTGAAAGAATTAGAGGTAAGACAGAATGTAGGATTGTGTATGAGCAAGGTGGTTTCAGAGTGGGTAGGGGATGTGTAGATCAAATGTTTACATTGAGGCATATATGCGAACAGTATTTAGATAAAGGTAGGGAAGTTTTTATTGCATTTATGGATTTAGAAAAGGCATATGATAGAGTGGATAGGGGAGCAATGTGGCAGATGTTACAAGTACAGTGGACCCCCGATTAACGATATTTTTTCATTCCAGAAGTATGTTCAGGTGCCAGTACTGACCGAATTTGTTCCCATAAGGAATATTGTGAAGTAGATTAGTCCATTTCAGACCCCCAAACATAGACGTACAAATGCACTTATATAAATACACTTACATAATTGGTCACATTAGGAGGTGATCGTTAAGCGGGGGTCCACTGTATATGGAATAGGTGGTAAGTTACTAAATGCTGCAAAGAGTTTTTATGAGGATAGTGAGGCTCAGGTTAGGGTGTGTAGAAGAGAGGGAGATTACTTCCCAGTAAAAGTAGGTCTTAGACAGGGATGTGTAATGTCACCATGGTTGTTTAACCCGTAAACGGTCCAAACGTATATATATGTTTTTTCAACATTTGAAAGTACAGTGGACCCCCGGTTAATGATATTTTTTCATTCCAAAAGTATGTTCAGGTGCCAGTACTGACCGAATTTGTTCCCATAAGGAATATTGTGAAGTAGATTAGTCCATTTCAGACCCCCAAACATACACGTACAAACGCACTTACATAAATGCACTTACATAATTAGTCGCACTGGGAGGTGATCGTTAAGTGGGGGTCCACTGTATGTAAAAAAAGTGGATCTTTTTTTTTTTTTACATTTGAAAATGTGTAAAAAACTTTGATTTACTTTTTTTTTTTTGTTATATTTGAAAATATGTCAAAAAAAAGGAAGATCTACTTTTGGAGCACTACACATGTGAACGTAGATCTGCTTGGACCATTTACGGGTTAATATATTTATAGATGGGGTTGTAAAAGTAAATGCTAGGGTGTTCGGGAGAGGGGTGAGATTAAATTATGGGGAATCAAATACAAAATGGGAATTGACACAGATGCTTTTTTGCTGATGATACTGTGCTCATGGGAGATTCTAAAGAAAAATTGCAAAGGTTAGTGGATGAGTTTGGGAGTGTGTGTAAAGGTAGAAAGTTGAAAGTGAACATAGAAAAGAGTAAGGTGGTGAGGGTATCAAATTATTTAGATAAGGAAAACATGGATATCAAACTGGGGAGGAGGAGTATGGAAGAAGTGAATGTTTTCAGATACTTGAGAGTTGACGTGTCGGCGGATGGATTTATGAAGGATGAGGTTAATCATAGAATTGATGAGGGAAAAAAGGTGAGTGGTGCATTGAGGTATATGTGGAGACAAAAAAACGTTATCTATGGAGGCAAAGAAGGGAATGTATGAAAGTATAGTAGTACCAACACTCTTATATGGGTGCGAAGCTTGGGTTGTGAATGCAGCAGCGCGGAGGCGGTTGGAGACAGTGGAGATGTCCTGTCTAAGAGCAATGTGTGGTGTAAATATTATGCAGAAAATTAGGAGTGTGGAAATTAGGAGGCGTGGAGTTAATAAAAGTATTAGTCAGAGGGCTGAAGATGGGTTGTTGAGGTGGTTTGGTCATTTAGAGAGAATGGATCAAAGTAGAATGACATGGAGAGTGTATAAATCTGTAGGGGAAGGAAGGCGGGGTAGGGGTCGTCCTCGAAAAGATTGGAGGGAGGGGGTAAAGGAGGTTTTGTGGGAGAGGGGCTTGGACTTCCAGCAAGCGTGCGTGAGCGTGTTAGATAGGAGTGAATGGAGACAAATGGTATTTGGGACCTGACGATCTGTTGGTGTGAGCAGGGTAATATATACTGAAGGGATTCAGGGAAACCGGTTATTTTTGTATAGCCGGACTTGAGTCCTGGAAATGGGAAGTACAATGCCTGCACTCTAAAGGAGGGGTTCGGGATATTAGCAGTTTGGAGGGATATGTTGTGTCTCTTTACATGTATATGCTTCTAAGCTGTTGTGTTCTGAGCACCTCTGCAAAAACAGTGATTATGTGTGATTGAGGTGAAAGTGTTGAATGATGACGAAAGTATTTTCTTTTTGGGGATTTTCTTTCTTTTTTGGGTCATCCTGCCACGGTGGGAGACGGCCAACTTGTTAATAAAAAAAAACAAAACATTTTAAGGAATTTATTGTATTTTTTTATTGACAGCATGTCACTGTGGTGAATATTACAGAGAGAATTCAGTGTGCAAACAACAGATATGGGGTTGTTAAAGGTATAATTCAAAGGCTGAGGAGAGGTTGTTGAGGTGGTCTGAATATTCAGAAAGGATGAGGCAGAACAGAATGATCACGATAGTAAAATACCTGGGTGGAGAGAAGGGCAAGGATGGTCATTCCAAGAAGGGTTGGAGGGACAGGGTACAGGAGGTTTCAAGTGCTATGGGCTTGAATATCCAGCAGGATTGCACAAGCATGCAAGATCAGAATGAATGGAGAGGAATGGTTTGTATGATCTGACATGCTGTTGCAGTGTGAGCGAGGTAACATTTATGAAATGACTGAGAGAAACTGGTTAGCAAGACTTGAGCCCTGGAGGTGAGAAGTAGTGCCTGTATTTTGGAGGAATGAGGATATTGCAGGTCGGAGTGTTGTTTAAACTGTGATGTTCGGACACTTCTGACAAAATAGTTATTGCAATGAGTAACGGTGAGTGTTTCCTTTTTTGGGTTTCCTGCATTGGCAGGAGATGGATATTTTTTTTTTTTTTTTTTTTAAGTCCAAAGGATATCTTTCGCATGTATCTTTTAAAAGATTGGACATCAAAGGTGTTACATTTATAACCATAGCTTTCCCCACAAACTGGCTGTGGAATAAAGACATGCAACAGCAAAGTACTGTAAATTAGGATTAACAAAGGAATCAGAGAAAAGTTTTGCTTAACAAGTCTAATATAGGTTTATGTGCAGAGAAAGCACACAACTCTAGTTATAGAGTGCAGGAAACAAAAAAATAGTCAGCTTTGTAGCATGATTCTTAATCAAGATAAAAAGAAAAAACAAAAACTGGTTAGCCAGCCTTGAGGCTGTGAGGTGGGAAGTACATTTTCTGCACTCTGCAGAAGGGGTAAGGATGCTGCAGTTTGGAGAATCATCTAAACTGAGATGTCAGCACATATCTGACAAGACAACAATGGACTGAATGTGTTTCCTCTTTTTTGGGTCACCCTATGTAGGTGTGAGATGGCTGGTGTTAAAAAAAATTAAAGAACAGACACTGATAAAGCAAAGTGTTTAAATGCACTGCCCTCAGAATACTGGTAGAGGTAAAGCTTGTAAGAGGCTTGTACGTACTTAGGACAGAGCCATCCAGTATTAACAGTTTATAAAACAAGATACTGTAATTAAATTTAGGTCTGATTGTCCCAAAGCTTAGATTTAAAACACAAAGACTTCAAAAATCTTACCTCTCAAACTCATTACAGGAAAAGCAGCACACAGAGACTGTCTTCCTCCCATACTTTGGCCAGACTTTCTTCCACGACCAATAGTGGATCTTCTTTGCTTTACTTTCTCTACCTCTGCCTGAATGTCTTTACTAATGATCAGTGCATCTGAAGCCTCAGCAGAACCTGATTCAGTTTCATCAGGTGTTGCAGTTGTACATTCCTTTGTTAAGGAGGTGGATGCTTTGCCTAAAGTATGAACATCTTTTTCTACATCTTTATTTAGGCCTTCAAGTTGTGGCTTCTCAAGGTCCACTTCTTGACTTATTTTTATCTTTCTGTCACATGCACCTCCTTTCATAAACTCCTCTTTTTGTTTTAATTTCAAATCTTTCTCAATTTCACAAGATTCTTTTCCTTTGTCAGTAAAATTAGATTCTTCCATTGCAACCAAGGAACTGCATTTCTCTTTCTCTGTAAGACATTTTTTATTTTGTAACAAGTCGGATATCTCAGTTTCATGACATTTATTCTCCATCAGTAACTTCTCCAATGACTTTTTCTTCAAAGACTGAATTTCCTCTATAACTTTATGTGACTTGGGAGTTAATGACTTGCTGACACACATTTTTGGTACTTGGCATATGTTAGGTATCACTGCCTCGCTTGTGTTTGAGTCTGAAGTCTTGTCAGATGATTTAAACTCCCTTATATTGGACTGCTTTTGTACTGGAGATTCACTAGATCTGTTCATGTTGCAGTTTTCTTTTACTGGAGTTTCTAGAAACAGCCTCATCTTGACTGCTTTCTTCTCTAGCATGGGAGTCCTGTAGGACACACTGGTTTCTCTAGCACTTTTCTCTTCTACTGGATTTCTTTTCGAGGTTTTGATTTTGCTGTCACTTTTCACTAACGGGGAACTGTTTGATCTTCTTTTGGTGGAACTGACCTTCCCTACTGGGATTCTACTGGAGGAACTTATCTTGGTACTTCTGACTACTGGGGTTCTTCTCAATGACCGTGATGTACAACTGCTGGTCTTGTTAGCCGATGTTCTGGCGCTACAGTTTGTCACAGGAGCTCTTCCTCCTGTCCTTCTTGGTGTGGCAATAATTTTAGGTAAAGAGGTTTCACTGTCACATTCGCTCTGAAAATGACGTTTTTCAGGTCTAATGTTTTTATCATCTTCAGCTGTTAAATTTTCCATAACCATATATTTAGGCCATGAATCAGATGCTTTCTTTTCCATTAGATAATGAGTTATCTGAATCTGGAAAAAAAAAAAAAAACTTCAGTTTGTGTACCTTCACACCTGAAAATATTTCCCAGGATATTCTATACAAGTGGACTCAGAAACATACATAATGAAATGGAGATTATATATATTCATACACATATATACATACATATGTATATACAGTGGAACCTCAGATATCGAACTTAATCCGTTCCAGGAGCTAGTTCTAAATTCGAAAAGTCTGAAAAGCGAAGCAATATTTCCCATAAGAAATATGGAAATACAATTAATCCGTTCCAGAAACCCAAAAATATTCTCAAAAAAATACATTTTATAGAGATTAATTATAGTATTACATACACACAACAAATAAAGTGTTCAATTATGTATTAATAAATTTAAATAAACATATAAAATAACATTTTTATTTACCTTTATTGAAGATTGGTGATGGCATCTGGAAGACAGGGAGGAGGAGAGAGGAAGTTGGGGCTAGTGTTTGGAAGGAGAATCCCCCCCCTGTCTACAGTCCTCTGTTTCTGTCTCACGAAATAACTCTCTACAGTCCTCTGTTTCTGTCTCACAAAATAACTGTCCACAGTCCTCTGTACATCCTGGCAAGCTCAACAAGTCCTACACCACTCTCATACTTCTGTATTATTTCCTTCTTCACATCTATGGAGTTTCTCACTTTCTTTACCACAGGGGTACCACTAGCAAGTTTCTTTGGGCCCATGGTAGCTTATTTCACAGTCCCACAAGCACTAAACACAATGAAATAATCGTAAAATGTTTGAATGAGAGTGCAGGTTAGTGTTCACTCAGGCATCAACAAAACCAGACTGGCTCACAGCGCCTGCGTGGGGACGCGGACAGAGCGGGCTGCCGGACAGGTCCGGTACCTGGTGGTTCGAAAATAGGGGTGAGTTCGATAATAGGGACAAAGTTGGTTCGAAAAAAGCGTTCTATTTTGAAAAGTTTGATAAGTGATACGTTCGAAATTCGAGGTTCCACTGTATATATACACACAATGTATATACAGTGGACCCCCGGTTAATAGATTTTAATCTTGAAAGAGGCTCATACAGTTTCATATCGTTTATGCAATGAAAATTTTCCCAAATGAATTTAATGGAACTAGAAAATACGTAAGATGAAATATGATAAATATTCTTATATAACCACATGAATGTTAATATTATAACCTCAAATGAAATTAATCGTCCATGGACTATTCAAATTCGAAAGTCTAATGCGATCTGAGTGTATTGATGGGAATGGGAGGAGAAGGCATTAAATCTTCTTACCCAAATAGTTCTCAAGAAAAATCTACATTATAGAGATAATTTAGTGTACAATCCTTTACAGAGTTACTTCCATTTTTTAATTTCCACTAGACCACTAAGATCACTGTCCTTGTCCTATTATAAATTGTCAAGAGGCTCTGGACGTCCCGTTCCTTAAGACGTAGTAAGAATGGGCCATAGCTTGTTTGGAAATAGTCCCCCCCGGCTCGCAACCAGTGTGTCGGTGATTTTCAATCTCTTACAGGTTTGCAGTTTCAACCAATCTGCACATTCCTTCTTTGAAGTAGGCACAATGGTCAAACAGCTAGGCTTCTCAGTTACCACCTTCAATTTCTTAATTTCCATTATAGTTTCTCACCCTTTTTACCACAGGGGTACTAGCAAGTTTCTTTGGGCCCATGGTCACTTATTTCCAGCAAAAGCATACGAAAAAACTAATAATAAAATTTGATGGAGTGGTTGTGTCATCAGGTACAGCAGAAGCGCTGGTAACAAGGACGGCCGGTGGGGAGGGCACATTGGCGCGTCTCGCGACAAAAGGTCCGGTCTGGTGGTTCGAAATGGTATGCGCGCAAAACAAATGTTGTTTAAAAAGTAATCGTTTTTGGAAAATTGAAAGTGATAGTTCGAAATTGGTCCATCGTTATCGACCACTGTATTATGTATATATACAGGAGGGCCACGCATGTACAGCACCTATCTTCAGTGCTCGAAGTTTTCGTTGGCTTTCAACTGACCCATTGTTCCACCTGCCAGTGACTATCGCTGGCAAGTGGAACAATGATCAATAACTCAATATGAAGACAACAAAATGTGTAACACCAAAAAGTTGCTGTATATGTATGCAGAGCTGCTTTCCCATGTTCTAAATTTAAAATTTATCTAATCTAATTTAAATCCATCATTTCTAGTTCTTACTCGATTCAATATACTCGGTACTTTATATCACCTTCTTAATGCCAATCTTCAGTTTATACAGTGGACCCCCGGATTACGTAATTAATCCGTTCCAGAGTGACTGACTTATCCCGAATCTGATTTATTGTGAAATAATTATCCCAATGAGAAATAATGGAAATCTAATTAATCCGTTTCAGACACCCAAAAGCATTAAAAAAAAAAAGTTTTCTACATGAAATATATATTTACCACACAGAAAACAATGATACATGAAGAATAAAACAATAATAACATCACACTTACCGTTATTGAAGACATGGTGATGTATGGAAGATGGGAGGAGGGGAGAGGATGGAGGAGTTTACAATTGTTTGGAAGGAGAATCCCCTTCCATAAAGACTTCAGGTACCAAGTCCTTATCCTGGGTTACTTCTTTGTTTTTTAATGTCATTAGGACCAGCCTGAGAGTCACTGGACCCGTCGCTCAAAAAAGTGTTCCAGAGTTCCGTTTCTGGCGTATGTTAGGAATTGTGTTGGGAGACAAGACAAGACAGCTCTTCAATATGACACTAATATCAGCTCTATGGCTTATTTATCTAGCACAATTCATGTAATATGACATTATAAACAATATTAATAACATAGAAACATGATATATAATCTAGAATGAATAAAATATGGCATTAAGATGTCACGAGTGGTGGTGTGTTGTCTGTTGTTGGGTGTATAAGGGCCACTTAAAAATAAGCCTTACATAGTGGTGGTGAAATTTTAGTTTAATATGTTTATTATGCACCCCATACCCATCCTGTGGGCGGTAGTCAAAAGATTACAGAGGTACATAATTGGTCCAGGGACTGGACTCCAAAGTTTTGATAGCTGAGCAAGTTACAAAGGTAATGAACTAGATCTGGTTATAATCATGACCAAGTTACAAAGGTAATGAGCTCCAGGTTGAGCTGGTCACACTCATGAATAATTGCAAAGGTAATGAATCATAAACACATTAATCATGAGAATTTACAAAGGTAATGAGCTCCAGGTAGAGCTGGTCACAATCATGACAAGTTTCAAAGGTAATGAATGATAAACACGTTATGACATGATTACAATCATAGACAAATTACAGAGTAATGAGCAGTTAACAAACATATTAGGGAATTCATCCATTGCCCCAACAACAGATGTTGCTAGGTGCCTGTCTCTCCTCGGCAGACAGCCATTGCAAACAGCAGCAAGTTGCCCCGGGATCTGCTGCTTGCACAAGCACCATCGACCCTCACCAAGAGGTCCAAGAAGCCAGTGACTCCGTTAGCAGCCCGATGGAGAGCTGTCCTAGGGACATGTCAGTGTCCTGGTGGACGCCAAGTTGACTGAAGATCCCAGGCCCTCGTGTGCACGGATGTTGAAGCTTGAGGAACTGAGTACACACTGCCTGTGGCACACCTGACAGCTGTCTCGCGGTCGAACTCCACGATGCTGTCCCTGGAGTGGAAGTTCCTGTGAGCCCGGCACTCCCTGCAGTGCCATCGCTGACATCGTGGGTTAGGGGAGAAGTACCCTCTACAGATGGGGTGGAGCTGGGAGTTGGGTGGGTGAGACGGGGGAGACACGCAGGGGTGAGGCATTATGAGAGGGTCACTGTTTACTATACACGCCCTCCCCCTCCCCCCCAGCAGAGAGGGGGGGAGGCACTGACTGGTCCTGACTCTACAACACCAAACCCTCTAAAACTGCACAACACTTCAACTATTTACGCTGAAGCGATGCACTGGGATGTCCGTTCGCTGCTCTGGTATCTTCTCAAAGCATTCACACTGAGTTCTGTTAAGTAGGGACCTGGTCAGCCTCTTTGACCAGGAGCTATCCTTGAAAATCCAGCAGCTAGCCCGCTACACAACCTGCCGCGTCAGCCATGCCAACAGCTGTGTGGTGGTGAAGGCGGCAGCAAGAGGCAGCAGAGGTGGCGGTGTTAGTCAGTAGCCCTATATACATGTACCTCCAACAGCAATGGAAGAGTCACTTTCGTGCTGTCCTTTTTCTATCGATTAATTGCTTAACTTACTTGCTACACTGTTAACCCTTTGACTGTCGCAACCCCCAATCCTGAGGTGTCTCCTGGTGTTGCAAAATTAAAAAAAAAAATTTATTTTTTTCTTATGAAATGATAGAGAATCTTTTCCCGATTGTAATGACGCCAAAAAAACGAAATTTGATGGAAAACTGACGGAATTATGCTCTCGCGAAGTTAGCGACCTCAGCGATGTTTACAAATCGGCGATTTCGCCCACTTTGAGCCCTATTTTCAGCTAATTCCATTGTTCCAGTCGCCCAAACTCATAGCTATTTCTTTAGAACTCCATTTTTTCTATCGATTGAGTACAAGAAACTGCCCATTTACCGATTTCAACTACCTAATAATGTGGTCAGAAATTTGGAATTTGGCCAATTTCACGAAAAAAAAAAATTATGACAATTTCAAAATAAGGTCCAGAATGAACAATGCAGACATTCCTGGCTCTAAAATAACATTTTCTTTGTTCATCAGTCATGTCTCCAGTCCCCTCTGATATTACTCTTGCTTTCTATTTTGAATTTTTATTCAAACAAAAAATAGAAGACTTACATTATGCAGACTACTGCAATACTGTAATAATTGTATAAATAACATCAACCCATTCGTGACTGCATATTAGAATGGCTAATTGGACATTTATTGGACAATGGCATCATTTGCTTACTTTTGAACATTGGCAAAAATCAAACATTTCCCCTACTTTGAGCTCCATTTCTAGGTTCTTTTTATAGTAAAATCAATCAAAATCACCTCTATTT